GTGTGCGCCGCGCGGGGGGGACCCGCCGGGACCCGGGACTCCGCGCCCGCCCGCCCCGCGCGCTACTTTGGAAAGCGACCTGACGCCGCCCGTTCCCCGCGCGGGTGCTACCTGGAGGAACACGGTGCCCCTTGCGGGCTGGTAGAGGCTCCGCAGGCTCGGTTGCGCTGGAGCGCGCGGGGCTACGGGGCCGCGAGCAAGGGGACAAGGCGCGGGCCATGCGGTGGCGGTCCGGACCACGGCCTTGGGAAAGGGTCCTGGGCCGGGGGCGCGCGGTCTCTCATCGAGTGGCCGCGGAGGGCTTTCTGTGAGGGCTCAGCGTTTGCAGACCCGAGTTCACTAACCCGATGGTCCAGTTTTCAGTTTTCGGGGAAGCCACTTCTGTGGCGGCGCCTCCGGTTGGACAAGGGGCTCTGGGGCAGGCAGGGAGCCCCCTGCGGAAGCCTCTATTCTCCCAGGTTTGCTCCGCGCTCCCTTTGCTGCCAGTCCCCGCGAGGGGACACGGGGCGAGGTTCGGGCCCGCCCTGCCCAAGCGCGCACCAGTCCCTGCCTCCCAGCCCACTGACCCAGCTTTGGGGGCTCTGGTTTGGGGCCTCGCAGGACAGGAAGTCCCAAAGCCAAGCATTTCAAGCAAGGGGTGACTCAGAACGAGGAAATGAAGCAGGTGGGGGCGCGGCTCCCGAGGTGTGGAGCCGTCACCTCAGGGCCACCGAGGGAGCCCGGGCTCCCGGGGTGGGGGAGCTGAATCACCCACCCCCGCCCCAGCACTCCCAGGGCCGCGCTAGACGAGGGGCGGCTGACTTTGCCCTGGGTAGGGCAGGCGTGGGCACCAAGGTGTTGTTCTTCAGTTGGGGTCGCGGAAAGGCCGGAGCCCTTGCGCTTGGCCGGAGACCTTCCTGTCCACCCGGCTAGGTTCCAACTGTGGGAACCAGTTTTACCGCCACCCTGGCGAGGGAGGTGAACGCCGCTCCTGCAGGGGCCGCGCTGAGGCAGCTCTGGGCAGGTGGAGGCGCCCTGGAGCCTGGCCTCCTCCCCTTTATGTCTCGGAACCTAGGGTTTGAGTCCGAACCGTTCCAGCAGGGAGGGAGAAGGCCAGAGCTGGAGTCACTTGTGTGTGGAGTGGCCTTAGGGTGGTATCCCACCCCAGTTCCAGCAGCAGACTTGGCCGCTAGTCTCCACCAGGAACCAGGAACCCTGCAGGCAGGACCTCCTCACCCCTAACCTAACCGTGGGCCCCAGCCCTGTCTTCCCCCCTCCTTGGGGGGAGTGCGGTTAGTGGGAAAAGGAGAGACAGCTGGAAGAATACAGGCTGCCCTTGGAGGGCAGGGGGATTAGGAGGACTGACAGGACTCAAGGGTTACTTTGCTGCTGGTCGGCTCTGCCTGGACACTGGAGCCACCTTGTTCCCTGTGCCCTACATCACTGTCTCTCTCCCAGCCAGTGTGATTAGCCTTGTCCCCGCTGTGGCATGAGGGAGGACTGAGGGTGGGGGTGGGAGGTGGGGTTGCCCAAGGGCAGACAGCTCAATTTTACTCTGGCCGCAAGAGACCCTATAAACGGCCCCCTAGGGAGATGTGCCTATGGCAGGCGGGTTTGATGGCCCAGATGACCACTGCTAGTTTCTTAGGCTTTCTGGGATTTAGGCTGGAGAGGGAGGGTCAGTCTGGCTGGGGATGGACATGCCTTCCCACCCCTTAACCTGAGCTGCTGCCAACTTCTTCGTGCCCCCAGTTTCCAGTGGTTAGAGGAGGTGTGGAGCCCGGAGGACCTCAGAGACCACATCATCTGCCCACCGTTTACAAATGGGGGAAACTGAGGGAGGCCTGTTCAGTGCAGGGAGGGGCGGCAGGGCCCAGCCCTCTGCACGGAGAGCAGAATGGAGCATCTGGCTGCCTGCATTGTGGTTTCGTGGTGGATTTTCCTGGGAAGGGAGACCAGCCGGGCAGAGGTCCAGGTGGGGGTCTGGGCAGCTTCCAGGGCTTTCTGACCTGAGGCAGCTGATGGCAAGAGGGCCGGAGAGTGCCTGGGAGGCCTGGAAAGTTCTAGGCATCTTGAAAGTACAAGAGCCCAATTGCCCTCCACGCCACTGCCCTTCTCTTCGTCCCCCCTCCCCCCAGGCACCCCTGCCTCCCCTTCCCCGTTCTTTAGGCATAAGTTAGTCTTGGTTGGAAGGGACCAGGGGAGCAGGGAAGTGACAATAGGTGGGACTGCTACATCTGAATAAAAGGCTATGTTGCCTTATAGACCCCTGAGGACCGCATTAAGGGGGTAACATGCCAACAGAAGGCAGTAAGGGGAGTTGGTTTCTTGCCCCCCTCTGGGGTAAGTGTTCATGAGTAAGCCTTCCGAAGCTCCTTTGGGGTTCCTGAGGGGCGCCCAGGCCCCTCTGTCCGGGGAGAAGTCAGCCATTGGCAGAGCCCAAGGGAAGGGCTGTACCCGCGTCTGGGTGGAGGGACCTAGGGCTGGGTTCCTGTTCCTGGTGGTTGGTTCTGGGGAATTTCCCAGGGAGGGGGCTTTATCTGGAAGCCCCTGGGGAGGCAGCAGGCTGCTTCCTGTGTGAAAATCTCTTTTCTTCACTGATGAAGCCCTGTGGCACTTCCAGAGGACTGGAAGGGGAGGGGCCCTTGGGAGGCATGGTGGGGACCTACAGTGCCAGGTTAACCCTACTTCGGGGAGCAAGGGCCTCTCCACCAGCTGGTGTGTGTGTGTGTGTGTGTGTGTGTGTGTGTGTGTGTACACAGCACTCACCACCTTCCTACCCACACTACCGAGTCAGGAACCCTCAGGTTCCTTCCTGAGCAGCCGGAACATTCCATCTGCTAGTGGGGTAGTGAGTTGTTCAAACCTGGGCCTTGGGCATGTCTGAACAAATCCCTGCCCTTACCCCTGCCCTCCAGCCCCCCAGCACCCCTCACCCTACCAGCCTCTGCCTGGGGCTTGTGCCACATCGGATATCCTCTTCCTCAGCAGCCCGGCCGGGTCCCTTCCTAGAGAGATCGGCCCTGGACAGCAGTAGAGCTGACCGGGAAGCAGTGCCTCAACTCAGGCCTAGAGGCCTTCCGAGCAGGCCAGATGGAAGGCTAACCTTAGGAGGGAGCGTCCCTCGAGCCCTCCACCCACTCCCCTCCTGCCGGCTCAGGTCCACCTGGGGTCCAGTGTGCCCGAGTACCACCATCCGAGCCACTCTTCCAGGGCCTGGGCCGGAGGAATGCAGCTTCTGGACCGCGGCCTTCCGAGTGCCCCGGTCCAAAGGAAATCATTACTCACCCTACTCTCACCTTAGAACTTTCCTCCCTGCATTTGAGGACCTTGCATGGGTTCCCTGCCTCAGTTTCCCTAATCTCCTTGCCATTCTGGGCATGGGGGTGGTATTGGCAGCTACCTGGACTTCATGTGGAAGCAGACGAAGTGCAGAACCTCTGGTTTTGGGTCTTGGCAGCAGCTCCAAGCCTGGCAGGGGGCCAGGTGGACAATGTGAAGTGCCCAAGGGCAGGGCCAGGTGGGGGGAAGGCCCCAGCACAGTGCTTTCCACCTCGATGCCCCCTCCCCCAGGCTCCAGAGGACCTTTCTGGAGTAAGTAGGCTTCTGGTCCCTGGTCCCTCTGGGCCTGGAAAGCCCCCTACTGAGGTT